ATTAGCTTTTTTTGATGAATATTTGGTTTTGGACTGTGTTTTGGCACTTCATCTTTATCCAACCTTTGTGCTGAATGCTTGCTATTTTAAAAAAGAATCCATTCTTCATCACACGTAATCATACGGTGTAGAAAAGATTCACCTTTATGTTGCGACAGCAAAGAATAGCAAGCTTTGAGACGGTATCTCTTTCTAGCACTCGTTTAATTCATGCAGAACCCATCTATCCAGCTTCTTTAACTTTGCCAGTTTGTTTCAAATGGTCCAATATTGTTGGAATAGTAACATCAAACCTTGCTGCTAATTGACACGTAGATTGAGATGGATTCGCTTTCCACTACAGCTTTCAGCTCATCATTATCCACCTTGGTCTCAGGTTACCCACGTAGCTAATTTTCAAGGTTAAAAATCACTGGAACGGAACTTTTCAAACCATCGATGTACTGTGTGTTCTTTAGCCACATCTTTCTCAAACACTTTTGATATTTTGAGCTGTCTGTGCTGCATTGGTTCCACAACGAAACTCATTTGAAAACAACACAAATTTTTGACTTATCCATGGTTTCACAAAAATTGCTCTAAAAAAAATCTGAAAGATATTCACAAGCCAAAACATGTGTTTGAAAGACTGAGGATGTACATTCACCATAAACGTAAAACAAGAAATGTCAAAGTGACATGACAGAGATATCAACTGTCAAACTTAGTACTTAAGTAAATCAGACATTTCATACTTAATAATCTAAACTACATGGAAGACAAGTATTACAGGTTTTGTGCTGCAACTCAATTATCTCTAATATTGTGATTCTCTAATATTTGCAAAGTGATTACCTGGTATCATGCAGTGAAGGCTCTTGATATGATCCTGAGTAACTCCACTCTCTGTACAAACTTTGTCAATAAATCGGGTAATGAACCGTACAACAGAATTGGCAATGTCATTATTCTCTGAATCTTCAAACCCACTCTCTGTATCATAACTCTCAGCTACACTTCCTGCAATACTAAGACAGTCAAGGAAAGAAGTCACGGTCAGTATGCAAATGCAACAAATGACTACTACCGAGTAGTCAATTTACATAGCCGTCAAAATGTGCTCAATGTTCTACTTGCCTATATTTGGAAAATACTTTCAGGCATTATCCTTTGGACCCAGATTTGTTTCTGTAAGGGATACCTTCTGTCATTCTCCCAAAAGGAACTCGGGAACCATAGAAAATAAAGCATTTAATATCTGCTACCTGAATCTTCTAAAAAAAACTTACCGTCCCAAGTTAATTACTACATAGAGCCAAACAAAGTAATATGGCTATCTTTGGCAACTGGGGAACATATTCCCTGGTAGGCAAAGTAAAATATTTTTCTCAGCAACTAGCCTATTCTTCCATATGGAAGGACCAAACTGTCCTATGAACCCTTCTCTTGCCAGAATTTATCTCTCTCTGAGTGAATTACAACCCATCTGGCCACTTTGAAGTCACCATTCCTCTCTAGGTGATAAAATCACGCAAGAGAGGGGAACAAATTTGAAATGGAGCAGATGTTAAAGCGCAATCTCTGCCCCTGTTGCTTATTCAGCTCCTACTATTCAATGAATTAGATTGCTAATCATGGAAAAGACTCATTTGTCTGTTCTAACCAATTCACTTCTCTCTGCTCCAAAGCCAACCGCATTAGCTGAATCAGTGTCAAAGTAAAGCTAAGCAAAGAATATGGCCATCACATCATCTGAAACCACTGAAGGACTTAGGTGCCTTTCCCATTTACTATGCAGACTTTGAGAGAGCATGGTCGTCTATAATGACAACTTTAAAAGCAAAGGAAAATATAATTATTGTTGGTCATAATGAAGATCAACTTGACTGGCAGTGGGAGATACAGCTGGGGACAGATTAAGGAAGATCTTAAAAATCAGGCAGATGAGCCCAGAATTGGTGAAACAGAGTCTTGTGGAATCACAAGCAGTGAAGGAATGTGAAAGCATCATTTCAGGAAGATTCTTTTGGCAGTAGGTCCGATAACTACAGAAAGAGAGAGGAATAAAAAATGAAACAACCAAGAGACTGTTACAATTATGGCTTGAAGTGATAAGGGCCTAAACTATATTGTTCACATAAAATAACCAGGGAATAGATTAGAAACTCTACACGAGAAGAGATAAGAGATCTGTGCATTGACTGTATGGTGCAAAATGCTGACGCTAAGTTGTCTAGCCTCGAAGATCAGAAACTCTTACGTGCTCTTGACAAAGATGAGGTACCCAGGTCAGGGAGACTGAGAGGTTGCGTCCAGAGATTTAGGCTTTTGGATGAGCTTTCCAACAGAGTATAAAGATTTTGGCAGAAGAATTGAGAATGGAAAGAGAAGAGGAGCTGCCTGAAAGAGCCTGAGATGAACAATTTATGGGAACTAGAAGAACTACAAGGATGTTGCAGCATCCACCACTGAAGCCCTAAAAAGGATAGAATTTCATTGCTGTTGGGGTGATCTGTTCATTTATTCATTCATTTAATCATTTGTTCAACCAAATATTACTTGAGTACGTACTATGTGCAAAGACCCTGGGGATTTAGCAATGAACAAAACAGACAAAGGAGACAGATAGTAAGCAAACATATGAAATAAATTAGGCTGTGGAGAATGTCATGAAAGAAAAATAATGCAAGGTAGGAGATAGAGTGATGGAGGTGCTACTTAAGATAGAGAAGTCATGGGGGCCTCTCTGGGTATGTAACATTTGAGCAGAGACCTAAATAAAGTGAGGGAGTGATTCTTGTGACTATTTTGGAGAGAGTGTTCCAGAATGAGGGGACAACCAGTACAAAGGACCTGAGGCAGTAATATGCTTAGAGTGTTTAAGGATTAGCATCGGTAGGGAGATCAGTTTATTTGACAGAAGAGTGATAGGAAATAAGGTCCGAGCAGTAGCCAGGGAACAGATCCTGTTAGGCCTTGTAGGACATGGTAAAGATTTTGGGTTTTATTCTCAGTGGTAAAGTCACTGGATGGTAGAGAGTAAGGCATGGTTAAGGACATGACTATAAAGTTGAGGAAAAGGATTATTTGGGAAACAAATAATCACTTTGGCAAGAAGACACTCACTAGTAATTTTTCAGAGCAAACTTTCTGTAAATTGCTTTGGCAGAAAGCAACTGAAGGGCTGGTTCAGTCGTGGGTGAGACATTTGGAAAGTTAGGGCATAAAAGAGAAGAGAGTGTGGGAGGTGGCTAAGAATAGTAGGATGAAGTCAATCTTTTATAGAGAAGAGCTGAGCAAGTCTAAAGGTGAGGAAAAATGATTAATTTTTGAAATATGTACAGCAATATTTGCCCAAAATGCTTCATATTCTCTGCTAAGTCAACATGGCCCCAAGAAGAGTAGGAGGAAGGTTTCTGTATGTCTACATTTTGGTACCTGTTTGTGACAATGCTGTTGCTTCCACTCTCCCAGTCACCTGGCGCTGATGTTCTTAGGAGCTTGTTTTTACTTGTGTCCAGTGGAACAAGCAGGTTGACCATGAGGTTTGCAAAGTGAATGGCCTGACTGAAGACAGTGCTTTCCTCATGTTGCACTAACTCTTGCTGAGTTGATTTGCTCAGAGTCGGCCAAAGGCGTAGCTGCTCAGCTGCCAGGTCCATTGCTGTCCTCTCCTGATACTGGTCATCAGGAAGCTTATCCTAAAAAACAAAGCAACACAATCCAAACAGAACATCCATCATTTCATATGAGCTTCAAAAAACATAAATGTTTTAAGCAATTTTTCTATTAAGTATCTATGTCAGCAAAAATGAAAACATATAAACAAAACATAACAACCACCGCAAAACAAAACCTAAGTCTTTTTCCCCGGATCTAACAGGCCTTGAGTGGAACCATGCACCAAACCCAAGGAAGCAGTAGAAAAGCACTTTATAACTTGTGACAAGCTGGTACGTCTATGGTCTCACTTGCACCCAACCTACGGCTCAGAGACGGACTTCTTTAGAGTGGATGACATAAAAGCAGTGGCATGTGTTTGCTCTACGAATGCTTTTGAGATATATCAATATTAACATTACAGCTGCTTAAAAAACTATCAAAAGCACCCCACCAACCCAACTATTTCTGAAGTATAATGCTGATTAAGGCTGCTTTAAGTTCAATTCCTGAGGATGATGGTTTCTAACACTTATTTACTATGTGCCAGGTACTCTTCAATGCACTTTACATATATTAAGACATTAAAATCTTATAATCATCATATCTATTCACTTTACTGACAAGGAAATAAGGCAGAGAAGTAACATGACTTGCCCCAAACCAGAGAGCTAGTACACTACTCTTTCAAACTAAAAACAATTTTCTTTATTTTAAAATATTTTCTTGATATTTTTCTTAAAGACATTTTATGCTGATAAGCTATACAGAAACATATACAGAATATTCCTAAAAGAAGACCGAGATTTATTACTGGCCTGTTTTTGAGCAGAATTACTAAATTTTACACTTATTTTAGAGTCAATTAACTTTAATTTGACATTTCTTCAGGGAAGTTAGTTGCATAGAGATGTATGCCTATGTATTTTAGGTTTGCTCTTTCTATTCAACTTCATATAGTTGTTTCCATAAAATTCTTATTTATTAAAACATATTAAAGTAATCCTAGGCTAAAGAACTGTATTAAGAAGTTATTATGGAAAAATATAATGTCAGAAATCAACAGAAGAAAGATGCTCACCACAGGGCTCCCTAAAATAACCCCCAAATACACTGGTAGGAAGTGGCTAGATTTCTTTTTGTCCTGAGAACATCTGTATAAGCTTTCCTTAAAGCCAGAATCTAGCCCCACACAAGTACCTTTCTTTTTGTCTCTCCTCTTACCTTTTGTTTCAGATGTGGGGCATGATTGTCTTCCTTGGCTGAGAGATAAAGGGAGCGAACCTGTTCCTGCACTGCATTGTAAAAGGTTGTCTCCCAAAACTGCTGATTCGTCCAAATGGGGTGGTCCTGTACACAGGTGTAGGCAAACTGGCTGACTCCAGGGGCAAGTTTCTGTGAGAACACACAATATCCATCATCATGGAGCTGGCAGAGTTATGACAGTTTGAAAGGTCACAGGGCCACAGTTAATCATAGATGTGATCAAAGGATTTCTCTGAAGAATATCTTATGGCAGTACATGTCTAGCAATCAGCAATTTACTCCATTTTAACTGGTAACCTTGGGCTTACTATTGAATCCTTGAGGGTTTCAGTGACTTAATTTATCAAAATGGGCATTTTAGCAACAGCTAAAAATCAAAGTTGTTATTAATTAGAGAATATATGAAACGTACCTAGCATTGTTACTGTGTATATAGTAGGTGCTGTAGAGTTGGTAAATATTACTACAATTAGGACATATAATAAAATCCATTATAACCTAAACATAAAACGTCAGATAATTTAAAATTTCTTCTACTTGGTTTTAGAGTACATTTTTTTTAAGGGCACTAATTGAAATGTGAGTGAACCTACAGCTTGGCCTTACACACAGAATGAGGGTGTATCATGAAGGAGGAACTGCACCCTTCCTACTGCTCGCTCTAGCCCATTACCTCTCCATAAAAGCTGCTGCCTGGCTCACATACTCCCTAGAAGACTGCTCTGGGTTTCAAGGGCATTTTCTGGTAACCAAATCTGGGCATGGGAAGATAAACACAAACCAAACCTCCTTCTTTTCCAGGACTTCCCGCTGGGCTTCAGAGTTAGAGTGAACTTAAGAGGTGATTAACTGTAGAAGGAGGGAAAACTAACTCTGCAGACACTTGGTAGGCACTTTCTATATATTTATATATCTAATTTAATACTAAAAATCTCGTAAGATGCACATTATTATTCCCAATTTAAGGAAGAGAGAACAGAAGTTTAGGGAGGTTTAAGTGATTGCCCAAGGCCATATAACAATTATATAAGTGGTGGAAATGGGTTTCAAGCCCAAAGTTTGTTTGGTTCCAAAGCCCCTGCTCCTTTTACTACACCAAATTGTCTTCCAAAAGAACTGAAAGCAAATCATAAATTAACTGCCAAATTAAGTGCCAGTTAGCACTTTTTTACTTTTTGCCCCACTTTATGATTTTGTTTCTCAATGTAATATACTGCCTTGAAACCTCTGACGAAACTTTATATAATATTGCATTTTTAATTTTAAAGATAATTTACATCACCAAATTTCAGTTAATGATTTAAGTCATCTTTCCACAGCCACTGCTTTCATTAAGGATGTTTCAACAATTTTTAAATTCATCATTTCTCAAGAAGGAGCGAGTGTCACCCATTTTCAATAGATAGGCATTTTTTTGGATCCATTTTATTCTTTGGAATTGAGTTCATCTGCTTTCTGTGAGTAGAACTAAAGTTTCTGATAAATTTTCTTTTGAAACAATTTAATAAGCTAAATTCTCTTCTCCTGAAATGTTGGACACTGAAGATTACTATTAAGGTTACATATGTAACAGCTATGCTGCAAAAGCCAGTTCATTTCTTAGGGATATATACCAGATATATGAGATATCCGGTAAAAAATTTTATGCTTGATACATACTAATTTTATTCTTGGTCTAGAGCTAAAACAGGCATAGTGGGTACCATGGAATGTAGTACTTGTGTAGTTAGAAGCAGAGTGTTGTGATCTTGCCTATGTGAATCCCTGTGTACTGCATTCCGTGTCTAAGACCTTTTCGAAACAGGACTGCGTACTGCTGCTGAGGTGACCGGCTATACATCCAATTCTCCCTATTACGTTGCTGTAAGTTGGGGCTGACCACAAAGCAAAAGTCAGGAGTGCGCTGAGGGGAAGGTGCACACGGATCATTTTTGGACTTAATGATGCCTGTCTGCTCATTTAAGACACAACCACTATCTATAGGAAATCACGGACCTATCTACCTATGGGAAATCATGGACAAAATGTGTGTGGTTTTTGTGAGTGCGTAAGCAGAAGCCACACACATCGTAAATCACAAGCTGCTTTTACACTCTGCATGAAGACACTTGGTTTGTGGGTCACATGCTCTTTTCCGCTTCACTTTTTAGTCCTTTACTCTAAGAACTAACAATTACTACAGCAGCAGCGCACAAGCCTATTTTCAAAGAGATTTTAAAGGCCCAAAATTCAAGTAAGATAAAAGCATAATTCTCAACTGCCTTTCCCATGAGTATAGTCAAGAAATTTATATTTCTTATAAATGCAGCACAATATAATGAATAGTAACTCTAAAAATTTTGGAGTCCAAAAAATATATTAATATAGATGAGCTCAAAAAAATCTGAGCTCTTAAGAAATCCTTATCAGTTTCTCATAAAGTATTATAGTTTTAGGATAATCAACACACCAAAAAAGTTAATAATTATAATTTTTTAATTAAAACTTAACAGAGCTATACAGGAACCTGAGGGTTTAATGAAGCCCTGCCTTCCTCCTTCAGCATTGTTTCACTAATGCTGCATATGTACCTTCCTTGGCATATTTCAGTTGACATTACAGGTTGAATATCCCTTATCTGAAATGCTTGGGACCAGAAGTGTTTTGGATTTTGGATTTTTTTAGATATGGGAATATTTGCATTATATTTACTGGTTGAGCATTCCAAATATGAAAATCTGAAATCCAAAATGCTCCAGTGAGCATTTCCCTTGGGTGTCATGTCAACCTTCAAAAACTTTCTAATTTTGGAGCATTTCGGATTTTCAAATTAGGGATACTCAACCTGTATCTTCCTGTTCATTCACAAACTAAAAGTTAATAGGTAAAACCTTCTCTAAATCTTTTGAACAAAAGTGGGACTATATATCTTCCAAGGTAGAAAAATGGTGCAAAACAGGGTGACCGTAGGCCACAGGGTCAGAACCCACAGCCTGTTTACTAGGTAAGAATTACAGCAGAATGAAGTGACTATAGGACAAACAATTTTGGTTGCAAGACAGTCACAAATGGCTGTGGCATCTGCGATAGTAGCAGTAGGATTAGTAAACGGAGAAAACCACTTGTGGATAAAACTATCTCCTGATATATGCATAAGAAATCAATAATACCCCAAAAGTTAAAATATTATTATTTTTCCAAACATGTGATTTGCTTTCTTTCTTTGTGGTTTCTTGCTATGTCTACTCAACCACACACAAAGGGCACTGTGTCCTTCAGTGTTAGGATGGGCAGGGCCACTGCACTGATGGGCAGGTGTGTTCTCGGGGCCAGCAGAGGGCAGTAGCCCCTCATTCTGCCTAGACTCCCTCATGGCTTGACGCCGAAATTAGAAAAATGGAGCTTTGCAGTCTGGATGGGCTAGAAAGTGGGTACTAAGGTGAATACTGTATGTGTTCCCTGTACATTTGAGAGAGACTCTAAAAAAACAGATTTGCCCAAGGTCACATAGCAAGATGAGTAGAAGAGATGGAAATAGAAATAAGGTTACTTTACTTTGTTTCTGTAAGATACAAAATTAAGATATTCAACAAAGCAGAACTGTAATGTAACTATGTAGAGAAAGATGTCATGAGACTTCTTAGGGTTTCAGATTCAGCCTCACCTGTGACAGTAGCAGCAGTTTTAGTAAACAAAGAAAATAAGCACCTGTGGATAAAACTATCTCCTGATTTTCATCATTTCTCTGGTTTTAAGAAAAAACTTTCCCGAAGATGGTTTCCCAAACTAGTCTGTATAGCACCTTCATAATCTTTTATTTTGTGCAAAGATGAGATTCAATCCATCCTATGGGTGTGAGGGTGGTGGTGGTGGTGGTGGTGGTGGTGGTGGTGGTTGGGAATGCTTCTGTCAAATGACATCTCTCTTTCTTTCCCTGCAATTCTGGCAACAATATTTACTTTACATTTCATAATAATTTTTATGGTTCTGTCCTAAAGAAACAAGTGATATTGTGCCATGTAATTTTATGAGATGTTTAAGAATGTGTTGACTTCCTTCCTTATCTAGAAAAAATAGCCCTGACAGTACTAGATTAAGCAATGCCATTCATTTTCCACAAAGCTTTCAGAGGAAACCCAGCATGGGACAGGATATGAAGAATAAACTCATGGGGTTTGCCAACCAGCAGGCCAGATTCAAATCCAAATAAATGGATACAAATAATCTAAGAGATGAGACGGTCAAAGGAAAGGTTAAGATGTCAGTATAAGGGGCCTGTTTGGCTAGACGTGTTTGCTCTCCAGGCCCAAGACTCCAATTAGGGAGCTCAAGGGAAAACCAGATTTCAGGAAAGAAACCTAGCTGGCAGGACTCATTCCATAAGCATGTAATGGTCTTAAAGAATAATGCAGAGATTCACTGCCTAAACTGCTGGAGATTTCCTATCCAGTTCTGGTCCCTGGAATATAAGTGTACCTCATTACATAGTTTGGGGATGGTGCTAGCAAGTCCTTTTGTGATTCTATTCTGGCCTGACCAAGTTCAGATATTAAGTCACTTTAAAAATTAATTTTAGAGCATTTTTGGATAAATTTTGGAAATGCTTAGTCTTTAGAAATAAAATAAAGGAAGACAGGAAATAGGAAAAATGTGTATTCAAAACCTGGCTTTGTATCTTAAACGTATTTGTGTGGCTGGGAGCACTGGCTCACGCCTGTAATCCTAGCACTTTGGGAGGGCAAGCTGGGAGGATTGCTTTAGGCCAGAAGTTTGAGACCAGCCTGAGCAACACAGTGAGATGTTGTCACTACAAAATATAAAAAAAGTTAGCCAGGCATGGTAGCATGTGCCTACAGTCCCAGCTACTTGGGAGGCTGAGGCAGGAGGATTGCTTGAGTCCAGGAGTTTGAGGTTGCAGTGAGCTATGATGATGCCACTGCACTCTAGCTGGGCAACAGAGCGAGACCCTGTCTCAAAAAAAAAAAAAATTTTTGCTTTGTACCTCCTTCCCTCCCTCTGCTTTCTTTAACCAAAGGATGTACATTATAGATTTGAAGTCCACTGTATACCTCTCCTGATCCTATATTTCTCTCTTATCCTAGAGGTGACAATTATCCTAAATTAGGTATGTATCTTTCCCATTTTGTTTT